CTTGTTAAAAGGCCCAGTCCCGAGTACCATCCCTTTCAGGCCCAGTGCAGGATACCCTTCTTTCCAGGCCCAGTCCTGGGTACCCTTCCTATCAGGCCATGTCCTGGGCACCCTTGTTTCCAGGCCAGTCCCAGTTACCCTTCCTTCCAGGCCAACTCACAGGTTCCCTTGTTTCCAGGTCAAGTCGTGGGTACCCTTGATTCCAGGACCAGTTCCAATTAGCCTTCTTTCAGGACCAATCCAGGGTAGCCTTGCTTCCATGCCCAGTCCCGAGTAGCCATGATTGCAGGCCCAGTCCCGAGTACCCTTTCTTTCAGGCCCAGTCCTGGGTCACCTAGTTTCCAGGAACAGTAGGGGTCCCCTTTTTTCCAGGCCCATCCCGGGTACCCTTGTTTCCAGGCCTAGTTCTAGGTAGGCTTCTTTCCAGGCCCATTCCCCGGGCAACTTTGTTTACAGGCCCAGTCCCGGGTACCCTTGTTTCCACACCCTTTCCCGGATACCCTTCCTATCAGGCCATGTCCTGCGCAGCCTTGTTTCCACACCCAGTCCCAAATACGATTAATTTCAGGCCCAGTCCTGGGTAACCTTGTTTCTAGGACCAGTCGGGGTCCCCTTGTTTCCAGGCCTAGTCCCGGACACCCTTCCTTCCAGGCCAAATCCCAGGTACCCTGGATTCCAGGTCAAGTCCCAGGTACCCTTGTTTCCACACCCTGTCCCGGACACTTCCTATCAGGCCATATCCTGGGCACCCTTGTTTCCACGCCCAGTCACGAGTACCCTTCCTTTCAGGCCCGGTCCTGGGTTACCTTGTTTCCGGGAACAGGAGGGGTCCCCTTCTTTCCAGCCCCAGTCCCAGGTACCCTTGTTTCCAGGGATAGTCCTGGATACCCTTCCTTCCAGGCCAAGTCCCATATACCCTGGATTCCAGGTCAAGTCCCAGGTACCCTTGTTTCTACACACAGTCCCGGGTACCATTGATTCCAGGAGCAGCTCTAAGTACCCTTCTTTCAGGACCATTCCCGGGTATCCTTGCTTCAAGGCCCAGTCCCCATTACCCATAATTGCAGGCCCAGTCCCGAGTACTCTTCCTTTGAGGCCCGGTCCTGGGTAACCTAGTTTCCCGGAACAGTAGAGGTCTCCTTGTTTCCAGGTCCAGTCCTGGGTACCCTTGTTTCCAGGCCTAGTTCTAGGTAACCTTCTTTCCAGGCCCATTCCCAGGCAAATTTGTTTCCAGGCCCAGTCCCAGGAATCCTTGTTTCCAGGCCCAGTCCTGAGTTGGTTTCCTTTCAGGCCCAGTTCTGGGTATCCTTGTCTCCAGGAGCAGTAGGGATCCCCTTGATTCCAGGCATATTCCCAGATACCCTTCCTTCCAGGCCAAGTCCCAGATACCCTGGATTCCAGGTCAAGTCCCAGCTACCCTTGTTTCCACACACAGTCCCGGGTACCATTGATTCCAGGAGCAGCTCTAACTACCCTTCTTTCACACCAATCCTGGGTAGCCTTGCTTCAAGGCCCAGTCCCCATTACCAATGATTGCAGGCCCAGTCCCGAGTACCCTTCCTTTGAGGCCCGGTCCGGGGTAACTTTGTTTCTGTGAACAGTAGGGGTCCCCTTGTTTCCAAGCACAGTCCCTGGTACCCTTGATTCCAGGACCAGTTCCAAGTACGCTTCTTTCAGTACCAATCCCGGGTCTCCTTGCTTCCAGGCCCAGTCCCGAGTACCCTTCTTTTCAGGCCCGGTCCTGGGTAA